CATCCGACCAAGGTACGAGCACTCTGCTCGAAAGACGCACACGTGCGACGCTCTTGTCTTCTTGTTTTTCTCTCTCTTTTTTTTTTGGTTTTTAATGAGCGCGCGACAGAATCCGGGCTGTGGGCGCAAAGTCGAGGGAAAAAAGCAGAAGGCACTCGAAAGAAAAGAGGAGCGCAAGGGACTTCTCTCTCTATCTCTTTTGAAATACCAGCATCATTAAATCTCGTTTGACGTATTCATGGAACTATATATCCGAGGCTCTTGCTATTGGCCCCCTTCCTGCAGGCCGCGCGCTCGCTAAGGGCTCTTTATGAAGAATAAGTGACATCAATCACGTCATTCGTTACAACGCGAGCGAAAGCGACAAGAACAAGAGCTCGCTCTGCTATAGACGCCAATGTATTTCTCGTCCGACATTGCCTCGTCCAAAAAGAGAAAGAAACAACGGCAAATCCAATTGTTCGTTTGGGCAAAGCGTAAATCAGCAATCAACTCGGACGCTCGGCCGTCCAAAGTACGTACACGTCGGAGTGACGCAGCGAGTTCGGCCTCCCGCGAGCGTTCTCACAGCGCGCGGCGCAGGTCCAGCGGCTTCTGCGCGCGCGCGCGCGCGTCGAAAGTCGTAATTTTCAGCTGTGGCGCCGTCGAACAGCGCCGGACGACGATGGTGCCGCGAACGCGCGCGGAGCGACCTTGACGCCGCGGCCCATCCCGCGCTGGGTTTTCCCGAGGGTGACCGCGGCGCGGAGGCCGAGTCGCTGCTTTTTTCTCTTCTCTCTCTCTCTCTCTCTCCCCCCGGCCTCACCGAGGAATCTAGTCGCGCGAGCGCGCAGGTTTTTCTCACGCCTCGAGCCACGTCGAGCGCCGGCTAGATCGCCCTCCTCCCCCTGCCCCGACGAACGCGGCTCGGCTGCTTTTTGTTTTCGCCGTCGCGCGCCTCGTACCTACGCTGCCAGTGTTTTGTCGCGCCCGTTCTGCGTGCGTGGCAAAGCAGTGGCGTTAATAGTGCTCGTGATCTCTCATAATTTAGCTTATGTCACGTCGTTGCGAATAATATATCGCGTGTCGGATGTTTGCCGCTAACTAGTATTGATTCGACTCGCGCTCGTAAATTTCATAAATAACGACCAACGGTCGTTTGCTGAATCGTCGTCGACAATGTTCCGTCCGTTGGATGGATTTTTCAAATTTTTTTGACGAATCATCAATTGACCGTAAGTTCGTTCGTCGGCAATCATTCAATCGACCGACCTTGCCCGTTTAAAGTCATTCGAGCCAAATAAAAACAAGAAATTCGCGTCCAGATCGTCCGGCATTTGTCGCGCGTCGATCCTTGACGAATCCCCCTTGCCACGAGAACAATGCGTCGTACTTGGATTCGTCGATAAAACTTTGCGTCGGAGATTTTTCTCGGGGGGCACGTTCGTTGGCGCCACGGTAATCGCCGGTTCGGCCGACGAGCAAGAAAAAGCAAAGGACACGTCGACAGAGACGTTTCAACGGTACCATCAATTACCAGCAGCAGATCTTGCTATCGGTGTACCTGCACTTGAGAAGCTCGCTCGGTCGGATAATCGTCGCCGTCGCGGTGCAATTTAAGGCTCGCGCGTATCGGCGGACGAGCGGCGCCAGCGGCCTTATCCGCTCGCGCGCGCAAAAGGAAGGCGGCGAGTACGGGCGGGAAGCCTTGGCGCCACGCCGATGTCCTTGCCAGGAATTTCGCGAGGATCAGTGCTCCCGAGGCGTCGGGGAACGGACGCCTTATCTAAGCCCCGGCGACGGGCGCGTCCACGGGGGTAGGGGCGAGGAAGGCCGCGCCGAGATTCCTAGAGGCGAGCAGGATAACGAGCGCGCGGGGAAAAAGACGTGGAAAAAGGCGCGGACCCCTCCCCGACGCAGCTATTATTAGAAGCGATCCGAGCCCGGCGCTGGCGGCAGCGCGAGCAACAAGTCGCGTAGCGCGGATGCTCGCCGTCTCGCGGCACGCGGACGCCGGCCTGCCTCTATAAATAGCAGCTCGCAGACGCGGTGCTGCCCTCGGCTCCCCGCCGCGTTTTTGCACCTGCGCCCGGTGCCGCGCGCGCACGCGACCTGCACTTTCCGCGCGCGGCCGCTGACTCGCGCCTCCGGTGCCCCGCCCGGTGCCTCTTTGTGTCCCGCGGGCGAGCCGAGGCGGCGACCGGCGATCGGGGGACGGTGCCAGGCGCCGCGCCGCGCGTCCACCGTCCGCGGCGAGAAGCGCGTCGCTCGGCCTCTTCCACTCGCGAGGCGTTCTCTCTCCCTCTCGCACCTGCGGCGCCGCCTCTCGCCGCGCGAGCGCGAGCGAAAATAACGCGCGCGGTGTCGTTCGCTCCGCGATCCAAGCGCCGAAAGGCTAAGAATAGCGGCGAGCGGTGCCAAAAATAAACGGTAAACACGAGGACTGCATTCCGCGCGCTCGGCCGCGCAGATAAACAGTCGGATTTTATTAATCGGCGGAATCGTCAATTGCCCTCCCCTCGCAGTAAAGTCTATTTATAAAGGCCCGAGCGCCCGTAAAGCTGCCTCGACTCGCTCGCGGTGCTCGCGTCGCAGATTATACGCGCGCGGCCGCGCATAAAGCGAGGCTAGAGAGGCCTAATCAGCGGCGCCACCGGCCGCCACCGGCCGCCACCTGCCTGCCCGAGCTCGTCCGATCGCGATTATAACGCCGCTCCGAAGCGGCCCGTTCGTCATCCTGCGATCTCTCCGCTCGGCTCTGTCGTTTATCCTCGGTCGCCGCGGTCAAGGTTAGCGATGGACGCGCGTGCGAGAGAGAGGCTCGACCACGGCGGCCAACGTTTTTCGGACTTGGCATAAATTAACGGGCCGCCGGGGATAGCCAAGTGCCAAGTGCCGTGCCAAGTGCCGTGCCAAGGCTGCTGTGCGATCGTCTCTCGGTCGCTCAGCTGGCGCGCGATCGATTCCGCTCGACAAAGATGCTCAGCTGGGAGCACCGTCGTCGCGAGGGATCGTCACGGTTATCAGCAGCCGCGGAGCCCGACCGATCGATCCGCGCGCGCGCCGACTGCCCGGCGATAACGCTCTGCTCGGAAAGTAAGCCGCGGCCATATGCACGAGATCGATAAACAGGACAAAGCTCGCGCCGCAGTAGAGAAGAGACTGTAGAGAAGAGAGAGAGAGAGAAAGAGAGAGCCTCCAGCAGCGCGTTAACCATCGGCTGGCGTGTGTCGCGCGCCGTCGTCTGTATAAATGATGAGCTTCGTCGGCGCTGACGCGCACACGACGACGAAGCACCGTGTGTGTGTGTGTGTGTGTGCGCGCGCAAATCGATAAGCCGGCGACGACGAGCGCGCCGATCGCGAGAAATCTCCTCCCATTCGTCATCGACGATCCGTTTCCCAACGACGCCTCGGCGCGCATCCCGAAAGAATGCCCGTACGCGACGCGCGCGGCGGCGGCGGCGGCGGCGGCGGCAGTCGACGAGCCAGTCGCAACAGTCGCCATTATTATTATAACTGACGAAATCCGTGCGTTGCGAGAGCGGCAATGAGAATCGACGCAACGCTTTTTTCCCCTCTTTGTGCGCCACTCGGCGGTATGCGCGATGGGCTCGCGCTGATAAGCGGCGTGAGACGACAGGGGAGAGAGCCAGCGAGCTGATAATTGCACGCCGGCCCGAACTCGCGTCTTCTTCGTTTCTTTTTTTATTGCTCATTTTGCCTCGTGGATAATTAATGAGGTTGGCTGCTCTAAACTCTTTTAAATTTACATTTTTCAATGCGCCTGCCGTTTCTTTGAAACGAGCTTCTACATATGCATTCGTACGTATGTACATGTATATGTATTCGCCAGGATATAGGTTTGACGAAACACTTTTTCACCTCGGAGATTTCGAAGACGTCAGACGTGATGCATTTAATTTTCCATGACTCGAAATCTGAATACCTTTTAGATTTAATAAGTCGAGTGATGCAAATGCGATATAGCTATATTTCGCAAGACTCCAAAACTGAAACGGGACGCTTGATTAAATGTAAATAATCTGTAAGTCGAGCCTCCGTTGCCATGTAATACGTGACGCGATATCGATGAGTCGCGATATGATTTTATTATATACTCGAATAAATAAATAATGTCAATTGAAATAAATCAAGTACTGACTTAACTTGACGTTAATTTCATAATTTTTCATTACTTCGACCAAGTTTGCCGTCTGCGGCAATACAATGAAAACCTGGAATCGCAAACGACTGCGTATTATTGAGATCTAGAGCGCGATCGCGTATATTTTCAGAATGCTCGATAAAGCGAATCGATACACAATCGCAAAGTTGTACTGTAAGAAAGTGCAATGTTGAAAATATCTTTCGGGTGAAAATACAAGTATCGCGTGAAGCACATGACCCAATTGCTATCGCGGATCCCATTAGCGGTGCGCTAAAAAAAAAGAAAAGATAGAGTGGTCAGCGCCCAATGGAACGAAAAAGTGGGATAGAGACAAGAAAGGCTAAGGAAAATGGAGCAAGCATTCATCTCTCCAGGGAAAAAGCTGCAGCGCGACTATCGCACGGTTTTGAAGCTGCGCGCAGGTCGCCACGAGAGCGAGCAAGAGAGCCGGATAGGTTGAGGGTCGCGTGTGGCCGTTGACCCTTTGCGAGCGTGTGTGTGCGCGCCGCGCGCTGCCGCCTCTCTCGTCGGTCTCTCATCTCTTCTCACTCGCTTGCCGCCGCTCGGCTAACAAATCCTGCCACGGCTAATTCGACCGTGCGATATTCGGCCTCGGCTGAAATCGCGCGCTCCTCGTGGCGACTTTTTTGGCCGGCAAGTGCCAAGTTTTAATGGAAACCTGGCTTTTCGAGATCAACAATGTCAGGACTGCTTTCGCTATCTATTCGGCCAAATCTCTCGTGCTCTTAGCCCCGAAAGAAAGTTTTTCCACGGAAATTCTCTAGCCAGCAACTTGGACAACGGCGGCAAATCATTTTCCCCTTCTTTTATTCATTTCTTTTCGTTTGCAGTATCCGAGCAAGAACGTCACGAGTGACCTATTGGAGAACACCGAGTTCGCTGCCGTGAGTTTTGGTACGTTGCCCGAAAACCTGGACAACATTACGCCGGCTGCGATTGATTTGCTCAAAAGACTTTTGCAACCGGAGCCAAGGTTGCGTATCAGGTCTGTCATGATGCTACAGCGCATTGCATTTTACATGGGTCACGACATTAGAAGTTATACCGAGAAAAAGGTCAGAGCTTTTTCTACAAAAGTAGTGGCGCAATGATTTTTTTTCGAGTGTTGATTCAAATGGAATTTTCAGATGTCGCCATTTAGACTGCTAGGAAGAAAGATCGAGTCGACCGAAACTTCGTCTATCGAGGATAATTTCTATGATTTCGATTCTTTTGTGGGAGCCGGCAGTACTAATCGTACCTGGGCTCTCTCTACAAACAGCAGTAGATAGTGAACGATTACCGATTGTGTTTCACGATAATGTTCGATATTGTGATATTTCGTTTTTAGCCGTCCTATTACGTCATGCTGCGATATTAATTTTTAACTTACTGAGTTTTATTTATGTATTGCTTAATTTTCCCGTAAAAAGCATAACTCTTTTTTATGCTGATTATACATTTTATGTATCATGAACAATTATTTATCGTCTTCCATTTATACTTCAAAGTACAAATTTATATTTACATTGTTTACAAATATAAAAACTCTTTCCGTGATACGCTAACATAAATAACATTAGCATATCCTAATTATATATTTAACGTCTGTATTGCTGATCAAATTTGCACAATTGTGAATGAAACGAAAATATAGTAATAAAATCTTTTCACTTTATACAATATTCTTTGTATTTGAATTTCTTGAATGTAATTATGAACCTAATAAAAATATTCCTCTTCAATCAAAGTTTCTTAGTCAAAGGATTCAAATATAGTTTACACAAATTCCAAATCAGTTTACAAAAGTTTTAATTTTTTTAAGAATAGTTAACAGTATTTTTGTTTGTTACAATATTTCATTGATAATACAATAAATTGCGATAATCGTGGTGCGTATAAACTAATAACAAAAAATAGAAATGGTTACTAATCCAAAAAGAAAAAAAAATGAAACGTAGTGTTTCTTGGAAAATCGCTTGAGTAGAGTGATCCGCGATTTTTATTTATTTTTTTTTTTCAGAAACATCGATTCGTTTTTTCCCTATTACTTTAGATTTTCGAACACCCCCCTCCCCCCATCCCTTTTTCGCATTCTTGGCCTTATTACGGGTAATCGCTTCGTTTCCCTCCTTCGGTAGAGGTGCATTTTAATTAGAGTTTACATTATGATAATTATATACAATGTTCTTACAGTTAGTGGGCCTCGTTTTTTACTTGATATAATACAATAATGCATTCATTTCTTTCACTTTTGGCCAACGCACAAAATAATCTCGTAACTTACAATTTTACGCTTATTTATTACCTTCGCTGTTTCTCGAAAAAGTACGCATTTGACAAATAAAAATATACATGTTTTCACCTCTTAAATCCAAAATACGGTTAACGAGCGACGCATGACATAATTCAACAAAACCAATAAATCAACAATACAGAAGCATTTGAGATAGAACAACAAATGAAGATGATTGTGCACGTTGAAAGTACTTATAAAGTTTGTATTCAGAGAAAAAAAGATTTTGTTATCAAAGAATTTCAAACTGCGACTAATCTTCCTACTTATCAGACATGCGTAAGCACGCAGACTCATATTTGTTTGTAAACATCACCGTCGATGCATTTTGAAATTTGACACTTCAACTTCATTCGTATCGAACAAATGGTATCCACTAATCAACAGTTCATCTGTTTAGAAAGGATAATGATTATAATTCTTTTCTTTTGTTTGTTGGATACTCTACTTATTTTTTATTTTTGGTTTCAAAACACGAATGATTCTTAATTGTGCGCCATTATTCGTCGCATTATTCAAGTTGTTTGTTGGTTTATTTGGTAAAGATTAGAAATGACAGGTTTTTCAATGTAGTAACAGCTTGCGAGTGATTGTTTACTTATCTCTAAGTCACGTACAATCAAGCACGTATACACTGATTTGTTTGTTTGTTTTTTTGCAACTTTGCCAACTACATCGCGAAAGTTTGCCTTAAAATCTGGTTAACCGTTGTACCGCAATGGTAGAATTTTGAAACAAGCCCTTTGAATTTTCTTAAAGTATTATTGTTGCTTTTAAATATACCGATAAAACTACTGCTGCTATATCTAGTATATATTACAAATAGAATGACCGTCCAACCAGGCAACAATACTGGTAATTAGTTTTTATTTTAGAGTTACTTGACAACCCGTAAAATTAAAAAATTGTCAATCGTATCATTTTTTAAACAAGTCCTTCAAATATTTGTCCTTATTTCACGGTTCGCTCATACTCATTTCTTTCAAGCAATATCGCTTTTAAAACATACGCTCTTTTACTCCCTTGCAAATATCTAATTAAGCACTAAGACACTCAGCTTTGAGAATAATCTCGACGGAAAAATGAAGCTCGGTTTATTGATTATTTCACGAACCGTGGAAAGAAGTACTCAAGTATTTTTTTACGTTCGTATTATCGCTGCCCTTACAAAAAATGTCGGATGAAAATTGTAAACATTATTTATTATTGAGACAAGTATCACATGGAATTTTACTGTTATCAATCGAATACCAATGATAATTTGTAAGTTATCAAAACTATTTCTTAGTAAAATATTATAAATACACTAAATTTTAAATAGTCGATAAGCAACTAAAAAATACCAGGTCTGTTTCATACAAATACCAATTAAAAATTGTTTTTTATCAACATAATGCTTTTATAATGAAACACAAAACATAAAATCGTATTTCTTAGAAAAGATGATACTATTGAATATGTAAACTTTCCACGGAAAATTCAATTGGAAATTAATTGAAGCAAGTATTCAACTTAAAATATTTCTACAGGAATAAATATTTTAATTACATATTTGACATTCTGATCATTATTAAAAATGGTCAAATGCACGATTATATCATGTAGACTATTTTATTGATTAATAGTTAATTAATCGTTTGTTAATCTTTCTGTAGAACAATATAATTTTAAATAATATTTCATTTTTTAAGAAAATAGTATTTATTCTTCGTGTTCAATAGGAAAACATTATGTCAAATAAATAAAATAAAATAATTCGTGTTCAATCAAATCACGTAGAATCGGTAAGTGTACAAAACAAACTCTGCCCTAAAAGAGGTCAAATTAATTATTTGACGTATTTTATAAATTGATTACAAATTTACAACAAATTTTTTGTAAGGATAATGGCACCATTGTAGATTTCATTGCTGCGCATACCACACTGCGCAAGGGCGGTCGTTCAAATATTTAGCATAATGCACATTTTTATTTAATCGATAGGTTATAGTATGTTTTTTTTGTTATCTGTTATTACTGGTATTTGTGTTTGTCAGACAAAGTGCGATGATGTACACTTTGGCAATTTAAAGAAGTACGAGAAAATTTATATTAATAGCCTTAATATTTTTTGTACACAGAATACCGAATTTCCCGATGAAAAAAAATGCATTTTTGCCGCTTAAACGTCGCCATATAGTAGTCACATTACTATAAACGTGTAATAATATATCTATGCATATGTATAATATTTATATGGTGTATCGTTCGCATTAGGACGTCATATCTAAAAATTAGTATTTATAAGTAGTTTGTTCATTTTAATAATCGTTTATGCAGAATAATATCGTAGCGTATAACGTAGTTTCCTTTTCTATTACAGAGCTTCCATCTATTCAATTTCCACCTTTTCTGTGTATGTATGTATATATGTACAATAAAATTTAAGCTTGATATTATTAAACGCAGAGTTTCATGTATGTTTCGCTAATCGTACATAAATTCGTTCGTCGTTCATGTAAATCCTTAGTAACTGTTTTCTAGGTGAAAAAACAACTGTGTCTTTCGCTCTTTTCTGCACACTCTTTCATTACGTTTAACCAACTAAAAAACAGAGTTGATACTAGTTGAAACATCTCAATTGCCTACATTTTTTGACGACATCTAAAACAATAGCATGAATCAACGCAAAACATTCTTTTGATTTTTAGACAAATGATTATTTACGAGAAGTTATTCTGATAAAAAAGGAGATTTTGATCAGATGCTTATTTTTTCCCGTTAAACTACTGGTAATCTTCGAAAATGGAAGATATTATTTAATTTCTTTATTTTATGATCGATCAATCGATTCAAGTTGTTTTCAATGACAATTGATTATGTCGCTGACAATAGCGACAACAATGAACGTAATCATTGAAAATTTGTGTTAAAAGTCCTACACATTACATATTCTGTACAAGATTAATTGCACGATATAACGTTTTATTTTCGCATCAATACATACTTAGTATTTATAATAATTAGAAATCATGCATGTTTTTCGAGCTTACAGAAGTCATTTGAGTAAGTACAAAGGACAAAAAAGTCATAAAAAATCGACTTAACTAAAGTTCTAACAATCAATATAATCAATAATAACTTCTATAAAAGACAGATACAAAGAAACAAGTATTTCTTTAAACAATTTATAATTCGTCAAGATTAAAATGTTTCAAAAACACAAAATTTCACACAACTAACAATAATAAGCAGGGTAACACTAAGTTATCAAAATATCAGAAAAAAATGTCATTGTAGCAGTTACGTGTACGTCAGATGACTCGTGTAAGCTTCAAAAAAATTACGAACATGATGTTTACTAACGCACAAATATTTTATAGGGCTCTTTCACATGCGACAGACTTAAGTCAAAGCGCGAAAAAATCAACTGTTTTTTATTTATTTTCATGTTATTTGTTGATTTTTCGTTATAGAAACTCGAAAACTTCACTAAATATATTCAGGAATGCGGCCGGAGGAATGGCCAATTCTCTCGCCTTTCTCTCTTTTTTTACTTTTTTCTACGTATCTTCAAGCCAAAACGTTATAACGCTGGCGCATGAGTAACTTAAATGATCTTTATATCTTCTTTGAGATACTAATGCAGAATTATTGTATGTTGAAGCTTACAACTTTATCGAACAATACATGTTTTTTCACGCAAACATCTTTGCGCTTTTTACACGTGATGTGCGCTTTTTGTTCGTTCTCGTCGATTCCCAACGTGTGTTTATTATTATTTTTTTTTTCGATACTCGAGTTAATTAATTGCACGACAGCGTGAATTCTCATCTATTTCACTCTCTTTCTCTCTCTCTCTCTTCAATTAGTTAAATTGCGCAATCCATCCAGTTGCATACTTGATTGCGAGAATTCAGCGTTAACTGAACTAAATGAGACACACAGTAAGCTTACAATTGTCGTGATTCGGGAATTATTTACGAGAACTGAGCTTGAATCTACAGATGTATGAGCCACTTGCCATTCGGTTACGAAAAAAGAGAAAAAAACGCATTACAACAAAAGGAGAAACGAACGAGCGGTCGAACGAAGACGAAGTAAAGTGAAACAAAAGGTCGGTCGAGTGGCGCCTTGTGTCCACTCTATATCACAATCGAGCTGCCGCACTTGACCGGCGGATGGTGGTCGCGCATGTGTGTGTACGTGTGTGACTTGTATTTTTCGTTTGTTATTATTCTTCTGCGTGGTTGCCTCTTCACGCGGCATCCGGCATACACTGGTGCACACTCGCACAGAACCCACATATTCGTTAACTGCACCATCACACTCTATCACCTCTACACATTGCAATTGTCATGGTTTATGGAACCTGCAACGGGCAAAATAGAAACCGTTATTCTCGAGCACTGAACGCGCTCACGTGAAATTGCTTGTTTAGATGAACGCGAAGAAGCGTACCTTGTAAGGTGTCGACTATCTTCGTGAACAGCCATCTCCATGCTCTTGAATTCGTTGAGCTCCTTCCTGATGGCAGCTTTGTCCTTAGGAGTGAGCCGCGTCCACGGCTTGTCCGCTCGCCTGTCGTAGTCATGAGCCTGCGTCACCTCGATGTAGTCGTTGAACCTGATAATCTGTCAAAATATATGAACGTCAGTGCATCGGCATTGCAATTGTGACTGTTACGATTATCATGAAGGCTATTTAGAGCCGATTTATTTATTTGTCTGCGGGGGGTTCCCTACGTGTACACCGTTATTTGCGCGAATACTTTGCCGGAAAATTGCAACGCGAGCATGATTGATTGACGCATCCACCGTTGTGCAGTTCGAGTTTGAATATAAATGAGACTTTTGAAAAATGTTTCGGGTCGCAATTTTGCCTGGTTGAAAAATAATAAGCAAGAAAACGTGTTCACAAGCTGGCTTTAATCTTGAAACAAGACGAAAGAGAATGCTTCGAATGAAAAGTTGTTTCATCAACAAAGAAAGCGAAGATCGTTAAAAGTTGGGCAAACATTTTCGAAAAAAAAACGAAACGAAAAAAGAGTCTACCAACTGAAAAAAAAAGTGTGGAATAAAGATTTACCTTCTTCTCCTTTAGCTCGTCGACGGTCGGTCGAAAGCTGAGCTTCCTTAAGAGATAGCGTTTCTTTTCCTCTTTCTGCTTCTTCTCCTCGGCGGGGCTTTGCTCTGAAACGAGCGAAAGAGATTATCGTCTGAAAGAGAGATACATACGCTCGTATAGCGCAGCTTTTATGCCGCGCGCCAACGGGCTTCGCCTTATCACGAGCGAACTTACTTTTGAGAATGTTGCGTTCCTCCAGCTCCTCCTGAGTGGGCCGCATGCTCAGCCGCCTGCAAAGATGCAGCGAAACACCCAATTAAGACTTTGAAAAGTTTCGCAGATAAGTCGGCTGCTTTTCCCTTTATCCTAATGCGATATTTTCTTTCGATCGCGCATACAATTAATAACCGACAACTTATTACCTGCGAAACCTCTATCTCCTGAGCGAATTAGCTAGAGGAAAAAAAATCGTGCGATTCGCGAGCTCCTTTTAATTATTCGCGCAAAGCTGCTGGCGAGTATATATTTTTTTTTCTCGCGTGCTCGTAAAAGAACAATTAAGAAACGGTTGGGTTGCGAAGCGCGAAAAAAAGAGGATTGAGAGAGATAGAAGCAACAAAAAAAAACGATAAAACAAAAGTGCACAGGGTGTGAAAATCAAAAATAAAAATTTACAGCTATCCCCGAGGCCATTATTAATGGTCGCGTGTCGGCGGTGCGTAAAAATGCTCGGTTAACAGCAGCGAAGTATAAATCTCCAAGTATTTAGTGGCAGGGCAGTCAGCATGACGCTGTATATGTATAGCACAATTTCCTGGGTACCTGCATGCCCGAATGCCCGATAGCTGATGATGGACAGGCACACTACGTATATCCCGACAATCGACTTTCAGAATAGAAAGTCAGTTGAATTTCTGCGTGAAATTAAAAATAAAAGCAACAACAAACTTAACCGACAGAATGGCGGTTTCTCTTTCGCGTTTTAACGAGAGGAAAACCAACTAAAGTTGCAACGCGGTGGCCAACTTTCCAGGTGCAATTAGGGTGCATGCGCGAACCCCATCTGAATAACGCGCCAACGCAAAATAGCACGGCAGCTCGTTATGCGCCGAAAGCTTACATAATTAAAAGGAGGGACGACCTTCGCAAACGGCGCACTAGCGAATTAAAAACGGACGCGATATTTATAAGCGTATCCGGTTTCGAATTGCCGCGCCGCGACAGACCGAATCTTTTCGCCTTACCTGATGAGCCTCGCGCCGATAGCCTCCTTCGTCTCTTGGCGCTCATTGTCCGACTGAACTTGCAGGATATTTCTATTGATCAGCTCTTGTCTGTCCGGTCTGAGCGCGAGTTTCAGCGAGAGCGACTCTTTGCGCGCTATTTTCGCCGCCAACCGACCTGTAAATCCGCAGCAAAGTTTCGTTAGTGTATCGCATCGGAATGACGCCGCGTCTTCTTGATTTCACGTTCAATATGTTTCAGCAATTATAACGAGTCTAAAATGGGCAGGGTAAACTCCCGACGACAGTCGAAGGGTAATGAGAGATCACGCAAGCAGCAGTGGCACAAAGGAAGCGGGTCTATAATAATAGAAGCCAATTTCGCACGGATGAATGCATCAACGCCAGTATTGCGCGACGTATGTACACTCATACCCCCTCCCCTCTTCCCTGCATACACACACATACACACACAGGCAGGAAACGCCTATTTCAAATCACAAAACAGTGTGCACCGTCTGGCGTGCGTGTGTACCGTCGAGCTCGGAGCAGCTAAGGCTGCGCTGCAGTTGATTGGTACTACTCGTGCAGTTGGTGGGCATCCTCGAGGCTGTCGATGCGCCGGTTCTGGGCAAGTCGATCGGCACCGGTGGCCAGCCCAGTGCGTATGCCGAAGCGGCGCGCTGCACCGTCAGCATGTTTCTACGGAGAACGAACAATGATGTCATCTCTGATTTGAAGAAGATCCTGTTTGCACTTGTATGCTATTTCTCTCGAATGGCTCCGAAAGGGTTCACGGCCAGTGGGGTAGGTTCGGTCAGTCTGGGCTGAAGTGTAATTTCAGGGAGGCATTTTTTACGACAGACCTTTGTCACTACTTTTCTACCAGTTTTTTTTCTCTGTCTCTCGGATAGATACGACGGGTATTTGAAAAAAATTCCAGCACCGGAATGCCAATCAAAGTCTGCGAAATCCGATAAAAAAGGGTTATGAAAAATAAAATGGAAAATCTGTTGGTTTCACATACGCAGTGAATATTTCAAATGAAAATCTACTCAAGCGATATTTGATAAATTCTCCCAGTTACACAAATTGACTATATTGCGCAAGTTTCTCTAGTCCCGTTAGAAAAATGACTATTTTTTTTGCAACCTACACAACCACACTATCACTCGTCTTCCGACTCTTCCTTTATATATCATCTAACGAGTTATTTTTTCCGTGACGAGCAGTATAAACAGGCAAAACTGACCTACTTCCTGCGAGACGCGTCGGGTGTCCCAATGTTTGCTATGAAAACATCGATTTTAATGCATCGTCCGAGCGAACCGACAATTTCTTCGGCATGCGACGCGAGTCGCTCCATTTATACGCCTTTTTCGTTCGACGATATTTACGAAGTAGAAAATGAGCTTCGCCAAGCGGATGCATTGTTTTCAAAACAAACGGATTTTCACGCAACAGTCGCCAATTCGTTGAAGATTCACGCCGAAAATAGAAGGACGGCGTTACTTTGGCGTGTCGTTTGCGAGCGAGAGAAAGAGGAAGAAAAGGCGTCGATCGCGTTGGCATGCATTCGCGAGCGAGCGACGCGCGGCAGCAGCTCTGGAATTCCAGTGTTTTCTTTTCTTGTTTTCACGGTTGTCGAGAACATTCGAACAAGTGGCTCTCGCGATTATTTTGGTCGGAGCGTCGAATACGTTGAGAGCGGCAATTACCTCGAGACGATCGAGAGCGTCGGCGACGACGGACGGACGCACGCACGTACGCGCGCGCGCGGGCGCGCTCGGTTCTCCACTGAAGGCACGGGGACGCGCGAAGGCTCCTCGCCGAAGCACTACTGAGCGTCGTGTGTGCCAGCCGCGTTTAATATAAACCTCAAGGTGCGGTTGGCGCGCGCGAAAACTTGGAAGTTCGCGGGCCGCCGGCAGCCGCGCCAGTATAATTAGTATACGACAACGTCGATCGCGGACTCGCGGCGCGCTATAGTCACTCGGCTAATAGCCTGCGAGGGCGTTTGCTCTCGCGCTCGCTCTCTCTCTCTCTCTCTCTCTCTCTCTCTCTCTCTCTCTCTCTCTCTCTCTCTCTCTCTCTCTCTCTCTCTCTCTCTCTCTCTCTCGTTTATTTTTCGCTTATACGCTGACGCGCATCGATGTGCGCGCGAGAAACGGCTTTTCCATCGGCCTCTGCCTTCTTACGATCACTGCACTTTTCAACAATGCTTATTCATACGCTCGATTGATTCGAGAGCTTTTTCGTTGGGAGAGGATAAAAGCACGGCAGGTTCGGCCGTGTAGCTGCTGCTACGTAGAAGGCAAGTCTCGCGATAACTGTCTTGAACTTGAACATGAAATCAAAATGGAAAATGCACTTTGGACAAAGGTGTTTCCAATACTCACTCTTCTCGTCGTCGTAGTCGTCCCGATAGAGCACCTGGCTGTCATTCGAGTCTGTGTCAGAATCCTCGCGTATGACGTAAGGCCTGGCATTCTCCTTGTTCTCGTTGTTGTTGCCGCTATGCAGCGCCAAGCCAAATCTCACCGGTCGGCTACTGTAAAGATTTTAGTATAGCGATGAGTCGATTTTCCCTTTTGTTTCTCTCTCTCTCTCTCTCTCTCTCTCTCTCTCTCTCTTTCGTGTTATTCACGCAGGTCGATGAACGTGTATCGTACGCTATATTGGAAATGTGAAAAAGCTACATGAATAATCGACGAGTTCGCGCTGAGACTGTGAGCGAAATAATAAAAATTTACTTGTTTATTCATCGGAGATAGCTACGCACGGATGGCGCAGGTCAACAGTGAAATTAAGTTATTTTGGGAGCCGATTGTGCCAGAGTTTTATTTGGAATACATACTTTTATAACTGCGTTTGCAAACTATGTGTGCAAGATAAACATTAAAGTTTATAAAAAGGAGTTTACGATAACTCCACTGCGCTCGTTATTTTGCCAACGTGGGATACCATTCAAGAGTACGTTAGAGATATTTTTAAAAGGTAGTTCTAACCTTTGCCGGTAATAGAAAGTTTTCTTGCGTTAGGAAAACGAAGCTTTGACCATGAAGTTTAAAAAATAAATGATAACTAAAAGCAAGCGCGAATAGTTTTCGCTGTGAGAGAAAAAATGGGACGATACGATAATAAAAAGTGAAATCCTTGAATGGGTTCCCGGACATTTTCTCATGCTTAAATAAATAGACATGCCATACCGAAATAAAGATAATAAAAATGATTCGTAGAGTTAATTATCAAGCAGTGATATACAAATAAATCATACATGCTTCAAGGGAAACGTAAGAATCATCAAACAATGTAGTGAAAAAAAAAAGAAAACAATTGAAGAAAAAAAAAACAGAAGGGAACATTAATTGAGATAGGCTAGCCGAATTACCATAGTTTCATCCTAGACCTTAAATGAGGCCTTCTGGTGAAGCATAAGAAACATACGATTGTTTGTCTTTTACTAGTGACTGCATACAGAATGTCAAGAAAAAAATTAATGGACGAATGTACGATAAAGCATGATTCACTACTGTAATCGTTTATCATTATTTGTACGATATATTATCTGGAACATTATTCGATTTATATATATATATATATATATAAATATAAATACAATAACACTTGCTCTACTGTATTTGTACCAGAAATATATATTTAAGAAGGGAAAAGGAGAGAGGAAAAGAGGGAGGGAGGGAGGGAGGGAGGGAGGAAGAGAGAGAGTATCAACAATGAAATAATGTTCCAGTCAAATAACTCAATGGAAGAAGAAAAAGACTTTTACGCGCGAGATTGATGCTAGCTATTGGTGGGAAAAAAACGGAACGGCGTACTTGAAGGATGCGTGCAGCTCCTGGCGCAGCGTGAGTGGCCTAATTTCTTGGGTGGGTGTGCTCTGGGGAGTACCCGGACCGCTGCCACCACCCTTCTTCTTGAGCGCGCTTTTGAGTGGCATCGCGTGGAACTTAGGCTCTTTAGCCGGGATCTCCTCGACTCGCGTCGTGTCGATGCCGTACATGTCCTCGTCGTCCACATCGATCTCCTCGTCATCTGAAAATTGCAGCAAAGTGAACGAAGCCGTTTACCAGGAATAAAAATTCTCGAACCCCGTGCTTAAAAACCCGAATGAACTCTCTCAAAGGGAGCCACTCCGTCGAAAGGAGCTTCAATTGAATTTCGCGCTTACTTCTGTCTTCGCGTGCGCGAAACTGGAGCACTTTTATGAAACAACCGAACGACCAAGACGTGAAAATGTAGAAAAGCGCACAAGAAAAAATCTTTGGTATTTATTTTCTGGAACGAAGGGCGAACTATACTCTCTAGGTGAGAAATTGGCAATCTACTGACCGTCATCCTCGCAGTCCAGAAGTGGCTGCTGCTGCCTCTGCCTCGACAACAGCGTGGGACTGGGCGAGCTGAACATGGGCGGCGGCGGTATGGGGCCGATCTCGCTGAGTGGAATCGGCGGCTCGGGCAGCTCCGACAGCACCAGGTTCGGCGGGTAGCATCGTTCTATCACTTGCTGCTCGTCCGCGTTCGAGTGCAATACTCCCTTTTCCGCTGCAACATTCACACGCAAAGCACGCATTAGTACACGCCCTTGCGCTTGTCTGTTGGTACTTTATTTGGTAGGGTATACAAAAATTTGGCTTTTAAAAGGAAATCGGCTTACTTTTAAACCGTACTTGAGGCCGGCTAGCTTGGCCAAGAGCTACAATTACAATAATTTATAGTAGAGAGTTAGTAGATATATATCAATGTATACATAATAATTTTATATGTGCTTATTATAGGTATAGGCATGAATATCGCAATTAATATCGAGCATTAAAACGTCACTTCCAAAACACTCAACAGATTAGTAAACCGCAGTCTGCGAGTAGTAGAAACGTGTATATATACTCTACGAGACATTTTAAAAGTTTACGTACTACTGAGACAGAGAGAGAAAGTAAAAAAGGGATGTAGCAATGAGACAGAATGTCAACGTTAGTTCGAAGACTACCAGTCTAACCGCAGTCTAGCGATTAGGATTCCATTGCAAGTTCCTGCGCAAATTAGTGTTAGTACAAGCACACAACGACACCTTAAAACCCAAATTGCAATCAGGTTAGTGAAAAAAACTCGCGCGAGGCACAGCACAGGCTCGCAAGCACTCTCGCTTTGATCTTTGAACAGACACAGCTGGCCAACACAGACGGAGCTGATGCCAAAGACGCCGGGAGGCCCTAACCTGCGAGGCTGTCCTCGGTCGGATGGTAGGCCGGGGGTTTGCGCTCGCTAACGAGTAGCCTCTGGGGCAGATTGGCCACCGGATTAAGAGGACGTCGAATGATCCTCGCGCTCGTGTCGAGGCTATTCGGCCGAATCGGCTTCTTGTTCGCCGACGCTTGCTCCTCCGTCGCGGCGGCTGCCGACGACTGCACGTCCGCGTTGTTCGCCGAGGTCGCTGTCCCATTGCCGCTGGCGCCGTTGCCGTTGACGCTGGCACCGCTGCTGCCATTGCCGCTGCTCTGCTCGCTCTTATCCTTCTTCGGCTCTGAAATTAGCAACGTCGTCCAAAATTTCACTCTCTCGTGTTACGGTAGCACACGCATACACAGAAAAACAAATCGCAGAGGTTTTTGTTTTTTGTCAGGAAAAAACACGGTCTGTTAGGTAGCAAATGCACAACTCGCGTGGTTCTAAAATCGTTCCCGGATAAACATTCCGCGCACATCCGTAAATGACTCACCAAGGCGATGACGACTTGACAAGATTATATTTCTCTGTTTGGTTTTTTTTTCTTGTTTGCTTATTTTTTTTCGAGAAAAAACAAGAAACGTAACGATCGTTAGTAAAGTAATTAGCGATGATGGTGGAGGCGTGCACGTGACGGTTTGAACACGTGCGTGACCATCCGACTTTTTCCGCAGAGTTGTTTTCAAAGTTGTCGTGGTCGTAGATTGTGCTGCAGCAGACATCCGCATCTATCCACGGGTGTCCTAAGTTGGAGGGAGGCTGGGCAAATCGTATTTCGCAAGTGTGCCGAACGAAGGTGTTACGTGGCAGTTTTGCTCGTGCCAAGTGTCGCCCCCCTCCCCCACTATGTACACATCACTGTATGCACTTTATGAAATGATTACTAAACAAAGATTGTTGCGCGTGCTTGTATTGAATGTCTGCACTAATCGAGCACTAAATCTTCATATGTACGAATTGACTGCCAATCGTTGAAGCAAAGCTAACGAAACAGTTGGCAAATAACAAAAAAAAAAAACATAACTGAAAGAAAAATCGAACGCGGGGTCTCTTTTTCCTCGAATTTTTCGCATTGCCGATGCTGGCCATGAGCCAACTCGACCGACGCCACCGATCATCGCTGAAAATTATCACATGGATGCGCGATTCTCTCTCTCTCTCTCTCTCTCTCTCTCTCTCTCTCTCTCTCTCTCTCTTCCTCTATCTCTCTCAATGGATTTGCGAAAAAGGTAAAAATAGCGTACGCGCTGGGGAAGACCTCGAGGATTTTCCGGCGTAAACTTTTGGAACGGATGCGCCATCCTGAGTCATGTGTATTGTTAATGACAACTGCAAGATCCGGTGGGAAATACGACTTAAAATAGACGAATTTGCAAATGCGATTATTTAGGGGGGGGGGGGGTGATAGATAGTTCAATTATCTTCTGAAAAAGGAAAAAAACTATTTTCGGATACAGAGGATTTTTCGCGATTCCAAAACGGATATTTTTAGCATGCAGTTATCTATTCTAGAAAAGAATGTTGCTGTTAACGACACGTGCACACGTGAAGTATCCAGCGGATTACACAAAAAAGAGAGAGAAATACAACTTGTCTAGCGTAATAATAAATACACGTGTATAAAATGTTCTATCAATCCAGCCAACCAAATTGACAGCAAAACGGAAAACAACGTTCGTCAAACTCACTTTAACAAACTAATCAGTCTGTATCGAAACCGACAGACCATCGAGCCGCGTAGTCGCCCCAAAAAATTAAATAACCGAATGAATCTCACGCTTGCGCGCACTTGTCTGTCTAATTCTGAAAAAAGACAGATAGAGAGAGAGAGAAAGAGAGACGTTATTTCTCACACGTGAGCGGACATGGTCAAGGTTGATTTACTTACCTTGCCACTTGAGAGCGACGATTCGGCCCATCGTTCGGTTCGCGCTGCGTATGACACTGGCTTCTGGAGTCTCGTGCGCGAGTCCGGGCGAGCGGACAGCCGAGGTGGAACTGGCTGCGTGCGCGACGGATCCGGAAAGCGTGATCGCGTCTTACGCGACCGCCACGCGGGAACGTGACGCCGATCGAAAATAGCTCGTTGGTCGTCGTTTGTACGCGCGCGAGATCGAGAGGCGCTTTGCCACGATACACCTAACGAAACCACTTTAACCCATGAGGAATTCCGTCGAACGAGCTTTTCCGCTTCGTAAACAGATTTTTACGACGACGCGGCCTTGGCTATCGAGTGCGAGTTCCAGCCGATCTATTTTCACCGCGGGAAGTACGTGCACACGCGCGCAGAACTGAGGCTGTTCGCCGTGCGGCATTATCCGAGCGAGCAAACTGGCAAATTTCCCTAACGAATAGTGCGCTCCCGCCGAGTGGGTAGCACGTGTGTTTTCACAGTCGCACGACAATAAAATCCAACCTCGATCAAACAGAACAATTAAAGAAGAGGTCGAATGAATCGTCGTCGTAAGGTTGATGCAAGTGTTGTCGTAGAGGCTCGCGTCGCAATGCGGCTGGCTGCTACTGCAGCTTCTCTCCGCCTCTCTCTCGCTCTCTCGAACTTAATCTTCGCCGCAAGCACACTGTTCGACCACTGACCACGCAGTGTAGACAAACGCCTTGTTGTTTGAATAGTGAGAGACAGTGTGAGATGCGTAGGTTCTCGCATCGCCTTCTTTCAGACGACAAAATTACACGGACTTGCTGCGACGAGGGAAGAGCCAAAGGACTTTAGTAGTGGAGGGATTGTAATTATAGGCGGTGTGCTTCCGATAATACGCCATATCACGTAACGCACCTGCGCGTGGCGAGAGTAATTTTCGCAAACGAGCGCCGCGAGATGGGCTTCTGTCCGAAAGTATAAACAAGGAAGCGAGACAGAAAGAAGGCCGTAATGACGCTGTCGGCGGAGCTGATGAGACTCTTAGTTATGACGACAACCTCGCAAAATCCAATTCAAAATGTACGCGGCAGAGCGAGAGAGAGTAAGAAAAATAGCTGCGGGAGTTTGTCAAGTGTAGTCGATATTTCTGGCATGCGATAAAAGAGAGAGAAGCCAGACGAACACTGGCGTTTGCCGTGGAAGCGGAAGCTCTAGAAGAATCTCCCGCGGCGTTCGCGCAATTTCACGCTTGCGCATTGCAATCGAAGCTCGTCGTCGTCACTCGTCACTTCCTAGGTGGTATAATTAAGGCATTGCGCTACGAGTCCTACGCTTCCGTATATATGGAAAATACGATCAGCTTTGACGCGTCGAGGACGCGATTCACCAGTGACACGTGTTGTCCCAGTCATTAATTTTAGACCAAGTTCGTCACACCTCCTTTGACTTTTCACTTAGGACTTTGAAGTTCGTTCTCTCTTGCTCGACAGCGCGTGTTTATCCAATTGCAACGGCGCTGTTTATTCGCCCTGTGCCGCGGTGTCAGTATATACGTGTCTAATTGATCATTTCATTAATTGCTGTCGGGGACAAGGCTATAAAAATCGAAGAATATCCGTTGATAAATATCTTTCTCTCTTGTTCAGCGATGTAGAGGTTAATGCTGCACACGAGAGAGCGAGAGAGAGAGAGAGAGAGAGAGAGAGAGAGAGAGAGAGAGAGAGAGAGAGAGAGAGAGAGAGAGAGAGAGAGAGAGAGAGCCCGCGTTCATTCAATACCCCCATGCAACGAAAATTAAAAGGAGAAAAAAAAGTCAACATCGATAATTACGCCGGGCTGTGACTGTATATACGTAGAAAATATGTATGAAAAACTCGAAGCCGTAATGAGGTGTGATTAGTCGACGAGTTTTAAGCAGCCTGCGTATCATCCTGTTAATAATTGCGATCGATAATAATTCTACGATATTCAACGTCGCGCTAGAGAGAGACGGATAGCTGCATTGTTCATAATAATACATCGTCGGCGAGTGCGTGCTCGATACTTTTTGTTGGATTTGCCCTCGCACAGCTGCTGCTGAAGTGAAATTCAAATCAAAGTCAAACTAAAGTTTTTCGCTGATTTATCGACCACGCGAAATTCCATATTGGATTTATAGAAATACGATGATTCGGCGTGTAATCGGTAAACTGCATGCCTGCGAAAAATACCTGCGAGTTATGCGACCTTGAATGAAGCGAGCATAGTTTTCGAGAATATTCACGAAATAATTGATAGTTAGTCGGATATTAACGAAAAATAAAAGAAAAAAGAAGCGATCGGATTCTCTGTTTCTTTTTCTTTCTTTTTCCGCGTGTCTCCCGCGCTTTTTCTCCTAATTAACGTCCAACGCGAAGAAAATCCGATAACAGGTGCGGATGCAATTAGCCAACGCTGCAAACTGGCGAAACGCACAAATACGAAGTTACCTTGCGCGTATGACATATTCGGGAAAAGAGAAGAAAGAAGCATATCGCGAGACAAATTTTGCGGAGATCGAGAAAAGGCGAATGAAGAAACGCGTTGCGGATTTCGAGGAAATGTCTGGCCTCCTTTTTGCTTCTTCGTCTTTTTGTCGATCTCGAGTGGCTGACTTCAGCGCGGCAGCGCAGCAGCGCAGGACGCGCGCGCGCGCGCACGCGTATGTATTTTTTTTTTTTGCCTGCGCCGACTCGCCTAGTCGTTCTTCTTTCTCAAGGGTTTCCAGCGAATTGGGATTTTCACAAAGGGAATGAATACTACACACGCCGTTCCCACCGCGGAGATGGCTTAACCACGCTCTATTTTTCTTTATACTTTTGACTTTTTACATTTTCGCGTTGCGACGTTGGAATCCTGAAAACGGTGACGTTTCAGTTGCTTCGTTGGACCAATAAATTATATAACCAATTCGTATAGCATTCGATTGTAATTACACGAGCGAAGGGTACCGCATACCCGGGGGAAACTCCATACGCGTTTTCAATTACTACACTTCATTCGTATAAATAATAATTAACAGACAAGTGGAAATGAATACTTTCAATATATATTCCAATCGCATAATTGAACCGTCTGCCTAATATAGAAACGACGGCTGATATTTATAAAGTCCACTTGCTGATTTTGAAATATCGCGAGAGTAATTTGAGTATTAAATTATAACGACAATTAAAGCGCATTCACAGAGCAACGAGCTAAATTTGTCCCCATGCTTGTCGCAAAATGAAAGCTCGAGCGTCTTTGTCGCGAGTCGACGCTTCCTCCTTTGTTTTAACTCTACGAGAGAGCGCCTCATTAATAATGCATGCGCTGGCGTGAAAATCCAATTGAACGCAGTCGTCGAGTCCGAGTTTACCTCCTCCGAGAGCAACGCGCGTATTCTCAGTCGGCGCTCACTT